GAATACACAGCCACAACATTGCCTGGACTCGTAATTCATTACATATCTATCATCACCTAATTATCATCACCATTATATCCTCACCTATCTCTTCTCACATTATTTCATCACACACAAACTATTTCATCTACCCATGTTCTACCCAACATATTTGTAAATATAAATTACATATATAGTTTAAATCATATACAAACCTGTATAAAACATTCATCCAACATCCATCTCAAATAAACAAACAATATATAAACACATAACACGTATTTCATAGCAAATACTTAATATCTATGTGTTAGAAGAAAGTAACTACACACTCACACGTATAAACAACAATATATATACACATAGCACATATTTTATAAAATACTTCATAATTATGTGTAAGATGAAAGTAACTATACACTCACTTGATCAGAAGATGATCGGACAGCACTACAGCTCTAAGAGTAGTACTTCTTCGGTGAAACTAGAAGATCTTCACACACCGGGCTTCTCGCAAGCAGAGCTTTGGCTCGGAAACTCTTTTCTTCTCGGGATCTTTGGGCTTCGGGACTTGCTTCGTGTCTCAGGATGATACTGGGGCTTCGGGGGATTAAAATAGGGCTTAGAGAGGGTATCAGGAGTGGGCGAGAAGAGATTGAGCAACCAAACTCGGCTGCCCCTTGAATTCTATTTAGAGAGGGTATCAGGGCTTAGAGACTTTGTCGGCTAATTTTGACTTTATTTTTTATTATATTATTTATATATTATATTTAGTAGGCCGGGACAGGAAAACTCCGTTATAAACTCGTAATTTCTTCATCTGTCGTCCGTTTTTGTCTGTCTTTTCACCATTGGACTACAATCGACGAGATCTTCAATTCTCGTTTAGATTGTTTCGACTAAATATCGCTCGATCTCATATTCGAACTTCAGGCTGTACACTGTTAATACTAAAATTTCGAAAAATCACAACTTCCTCATACGAAGTTAGATTTAGACGTTCTTTTTATGCACGCTCTCGGTTTAACGTATTATACGACTTTAATTTAGATCGCTAAGGCCAAATATCCCTCTAACGTAAATTCACTATTTACATCGCGTCGTGTCGTGCCGGTTCTGTCTCGAAACTTCGACATGTCATAACTTCTTCGTTATAACTCGGATTTCGACATTCTTTATATGTACAGAATCCTTGTAACATATACTATAACTTAGTTAAGATTAATCCTTCTAAATAATCTTCTATAAAAAAAAGTCGTTTTTGACACTTATTGTCTTTTAATTGACTAGCCCGAATTTGCGTGCGTTACAATATATATATATATATATATATATATATATATATATATATATATTATAAATGCATAATCTCAATCGCTTGAATGACTTCTATCTGCGACTTACACATGACTAAAATTAAATATAATATATGGTTTAATATTATTTATAATTGTTGTTGTTAATTAGTTTTTTAAAAATTATTTTCTTAATGTTTTAATTTCAATCATTATAATTATTTAAAATATCAAACATTGTTTTTTGATTTTAAAGGTAACAATTTAATCATTTATATACAATTATTTTTAATTATTTTTATTGTAATTTATTTTAAGCTGCTTATTTAAAAACTTTTAACGATTATAAAAATATATTTAGGAAATGTTTTAGTTAAATTGATATTACAATTTAGTTTTTACATTTATCACTACATTTTATCACTTTCAAGTATTTACAAAATATTCTTTGGTTTTTTAAGTGGAACTGAAATTTATATTTAAGTTGACATTGTAATGTTAAATTTAATTTAAAATTTTAAGTATTTTGTCCAAACTATTTAAAAGTTGTAGCTTTAAGCTGATAATGGTTTGCATATAACAATATATTAGATCTAATAAATTAAGTAGAATATGTTAAAAGTTAAAGATATAACTTTATAAGTAGAAGTAAAAATATTATTTTAAAATTGAAATTTTGTATATTTATGATTACACCTTAGGTTTGATATTTATTTAACCTTATTAACCAATTTATAATTATTATTAGAAAGACACTACAATTAACCATTTTTAACTATTTACAAAATATTTTTTGAGTTATTTAAGTTAAACTAAAATTTATATTTAAGTTGACCCTGTAATGTTATATTCAAATTAATAATTTAAATATTTTATATAAATTCTTCCAAAATTGTATCTTTAAAAGGATAATGGTTTACATCCAACAATATATTAAAAATAATAAATTAAGTATAATATGTTAAATTAACAAAACATAACTTTATAAGTAGAAGTAAAGATGTTATTTTAATATTAAAATTTAGTTTATATATGATTACGTTTTAGGTTTTATATTTATTTAACCTTATTAACCAACTTATAATTATTATTAGAAAGAAATTAAAAAGTCATGGAAATTTCAAATGAATGTGGTGAAAGGAAAAATGTTTCTATTATATTATAGTATGATGATTTCTTATTGTGTAATCAACATGTATGTTTCACACGGCTAAGTTAACTATGTTTCATTTGTGCCATCAACCTATTGTTGAAGGCACATTTCAACAAACACATGATATCATTAGGCTATAATTTATTTGGTTAATTTGAAATTTGTTTTCTTAAGAATAGATAGTGTCAGCTTAGCCCATGTGCAACATGGGCATTGGAACATGGCCCAAAATGTTAAGGGGCCTGTTTTTTGGGTAGTATAAGCAATCGGCTGCCCATAACCCATTAATCTGAATTAATCAATAGAACGAAGGCAGTCAAGAACAAAAACGACAATTTGCAGCACTTCACGATCATCGATTGTTTGTTGATTAAAAAAAAGCAATCGAAAAAAAAAATAGCAATCGGCAAAGACAGCAACTTAGCTGCTCAGGCCCATTCACTCATTTAGCAAGGGTAGACGATCTTTTATGAGAAATTGAGGATTATCAAGGGTCAATTACCTAATTTTATCTCCTGCTAATCAACCAATTAGGTAAGATTTATGAGAAATTGAGAATTATCAAGTTTATAGTTGTCAACTGCATACTTGAATGATTCATACTTTCATAGATTATGAATTTAATAGAATAGTGAATAAATTTAATATTTTATTATCGGTTTATCTACTATAGAAATAAGTTTAATAGTCAACAGAATAGTGAATGAATGAATTAGTTTCTAAGATTCATATAAAGCAGTTTAGTAGTTTAAATTATGAGTTTATGTTTATTGTAATTTCTTGAATGTTGAAAGTTGAAACTTATGAATTTGTAGTGATGAAGTCTAAACAACCATGCGGTTACCAAAAACGTAAAAAGAGAAAGCTAGATGAAGAAATGAGAAAGGTTGATGTCGGTGCTCTAGATAAGTTTATCCATAGACAACCTGTTGAGGAGCATGTTGAAGAGTACATTAAAGAGCAAGAGCGTGTAGAAGTAAAAGAGACAGAATAGCATGAGCTTGTTAAAGACCTTGTTGATATATATGATCCAAGAAGGTGGGAAAAACTTAATTCGGATGAGATTAAAATTTTGGTTGAGAAAGGTCCTAAAAGAGATAATAGTATTATGTATGGTCCCTACAATAAATTTGGTAGACGATTTTCTTCAACTTTCTATACAAGTAATTTATCAAATTTGGAAAAGTGTGATAGAGAATGGCTAGTATATTCGAAAGAGCTAGACAGGGTATTTTGTTTCTGTTGTAAAGTGTTTAGAAAATGGATTTTGAAAGGTAAATTGGATGGTGAAGGTTATGCAGATTGGCACCATGTTACCACTAGGGTTAAAGAACACGAAATTTCATTGGATCATCTTACAAATAGGAATAAATGGTTTGACATGCGTAAAAGATTGAAATTGAACGAAACAATTGATAAAGTTCAACATAAGCAATTCAAGAAAGAAAGAGATTACTGGAAACAAGTGCTTTTAAGAATTATTGCAGTAGTGAAGTTTCATGCTAAACATAATTTAACATTTCGTGGATCCAATGAAAAGTTGTATAAAAAAGGTAGCTATAGATTGTATTTTTTTTTCCAGTTCCACCAAAAATCTTTTCGTTAAGTATGATGACTGATTCCACTTCTTATTTGTTAATTGTATTTAACAGGTAATGGAAATTTTTTGGGTGTCATTGAAATATTGGAAGAGTTTGACCCGGTTATCAAAAAACATGTGCGACGCATCACAAGTGAAGGGCTTCATGTGCATTATCTTGGTCACCTAATCCAAAATGAACTAATATCTTTACTAGTTGAAGAAATTAAAAAAGAACTTATCAAGAAGATAAAGGAAGCAAAGTACTACTCGATCATACTTGATTGTACTCCTGATTCAAGTCACCAATAACAAATGACTATAATAGTGAGGTATTTAAAGTTATCATATAATTATGTCACTATCGAGGAGTCCTTTTTAGGTTTTTTAAATGTTGATGATACCTCCAAAAAAATGATTATTTGATATTACACTTGAGTAGTTAAAGTCTCTAGGAGAGCTTCAAGGATCGTTGGTTAGCTATTAGGATATTTTATTAGTCATTAAAATACTTTAATTTTGCTACGTTTATTGCTATAAGGTTTATCGTTATTTTAATAAATAAAAAAAGACAAAACTTCAAAAATGGTCTCTGTGGTTTTCAAAAATATCAAGTTTAGTCCCTAAGTTCAAAAACCTCACAGATGGTCCCTGTGGTTTCAAAACTTTTAACAAATGGTCCTTTTCGCTAACTCCGTTAGCGTTTGGCCGTTAAGTGAAAGGTATTTCCATCATTTCACAAAAAGGGACCATTTATGAAGGTTTTTGTTAATTAAAAAATATAATAATTTAATAAAGGGTCCCACCCCTCTCTCTCTCTTTCTCTCTCTCTCTCTCTCTCTCTCTCTCTCTCTCTCTCTCTCTCTCTCTTCTTCTTCTTCTTCTTCTTCTTCTTCTTCTTCTTCTTCTTCTTCTATACTGATGGACCCAAAAAAACCCAACACCCTCCTGTGCCTTCACCCTTTTACTTGTTGACCAGCCAAAGGCCAAGCCTTTACTTCTTCATCTCGGTGGTACCAACTCGAGCATAAACAGCACCACCACCATTCTCCCTCCCGACACTACTAGAAAAACAACCTTTTACGACGCTCATTGCGCATCGTAAAACGCTCAGACGACGAGAAAATGCGCGTCAAGGAAGGCCCTGTCATAACAAGAGACGACGCGCATTTATGACACGCAATGCGTATCATTAAAGTCACTGTCAAGAAAGGCCATGTCATAAATGAAGATGACACACATTTTTGCGTATCGTAATTTTTATTTTTATTTTTTAAAAAATATTATTTATATATTTACTAATTTTCAATTTAAGTTTGCATTTCATGTCTCATAATAGAAAATAAAATACCATACACAAAAAATACAATCCATTGCACAAAAGTTAATGTCATACAAAATACAAAATAAGATACAAAATATGAATTCATCTTACCTAAAAACATTATCAATTGCTTGGTAAAATTGCTCTTTAACACTATCTACTGCACCAAAGATAGTAAGAACCTGCACCAAATGAAAACAGTAAAAAAGTGCTTCAATGTTTTTATTTTCTAGGCCAATAAATAATCAAAAGGTGTAAAATTAAAATATACCTTGGTTTCTGCAGCTACATAATCAAAAGGTGTAAAATTAAAATATACATTGAATATGGACATAATTAGAAATTACATACTTGACCTTCTTTTCCTTTTCCTCCATAAAAGAATACTGGAAATCCCAAGCAGCTTCTAGAAACTCAACAAATGCATTCCAAGTATCTGCTTCTACTCTATACAAAATAATTGCTTTTGAGAGTTCATCCTCCTATGCCATGAATAATGATCATGAAATTTAGATTAGGGTTTATAACATGGAATTGTAAAATGTCATGAAATTATCCTAAGTTTTTTAAACCTTAAATTGTATTGGGACCATGTATTGAAATTTGTTTACTATAGTTCCTATTAAATGGAAGTATGTAGGTATTTATTGAATCAACAGTAAGTATAAGACTAGAATAACTTACATCAAACAAAGGGAAGCCCCTGTATTTGTCAAGAAAGGCCTGTCACTTTCTTAGAGAGAATACTGACTCAAACATTTAGAAAACAGATGATGAATTCCAATGTAACTTGCTAGCATCAACCCACTCACCTAAAATAAATAAATAAAATTCTTATATCCATAAACCCATCATTTTACTTTTCATAAATAAATAAATCCCACATTAATTTATACGAATCTTACCCTGTGGGCAGTTTGAACATATTGAGACTTTCTTGAAAGATCAACATGTCCCATAAGGCAAAAAAAATCGATATTAGAATTTAAAAAGAATATTTGGTTGTAAATTGTAATACCTTAGCAGGAAACATCACATACCTGAATGCTAGCAGGAGCCCATTCAATGAAATTAACAAGCTTTCTTTCACGTATTCGCTGCAAACTATCATGAACCTAATAATAAAAGCATCTTACAATATCATCCATGGAAGTTTTCAGATTGCAAAATGTATGTTGACTTGACTGACCTGAGTTGGGTCAACTTCTCCCTGAATGATGTTCAGTATCAAGATATATTTTGCCTGACTGGCTTCTTTTGTCCCAGCATGTGATGAAACCATGATATTCTTTGTCTGCAAAACATAAATTTTTTTGCACCCATGAGTATGAAAATCAAAGCTTCACTAAACATCTTCTAACATTTTCTTGCCTGAAGAAGTCTTCTCATCACATCCAATATGGTGGTTTTTCGAATCATATTAACCTACCAATAACAAGAATTTAAAGTTCACATGGATAATAACAATAATAATAGTTATAACAAATATTTGAAAATCTTATTCTTAAAGTTCCAATTGCAAGGATGATTCCAAATTATGAAAATATTGACTTTGAATCATGATTGTACAAATTTTCCATGAACATACATCATAATTGTAAGTTGTAAACGTGGAGATTAACCTTGATCAACAAGGTTTAGGCTCTGTGACAAAAACAAAAGAACTAGGCAGTAAACAGAAGAGAGTAAAAAAGTTAGGAATGAATTTAATTTGCATAGATATTACCATTTAAAAGTACTTGATTAACAATCTGATAAGGCAATGAGAAAAATTCTGAAAAGCTGAATCATGAATGAATTAAAATGTAAAAAACAACTAAGGTCAATTAAGATGGTATGCATTACCTTCATCAACCACAGGTTTCGTATTTATTTTTATGAGAGAGAATGAGCAATCAAGTAATGTTGAGTGTTCATAAATTCACAAGATCCATCCAAAAAACCGATAGAACAAGTTAATGCAGACATAAATGTATCGATAACTCTGTCACGTGCTATAGTCAGGGGCGGTTGCACGTGGGGGTAACTAGAGCAACCGTCTCTAGAATTAGGGGTATTTTAGTAATTTTTCCCTTAAAAAATTTTTGAAAATAAAATTTTGAGGCACAATGGTTCAGCAAGATCAAAATCTGAGAAAGTATTGGTGAAAATTCAAAAAGGATTTATGAAGTTAACTGATAGGCAACAATTTGTTATACTTAAATTATGTGTTGAACTTTGCCTGGAGGAAAACACCATAAAACCATTGTCTAATGGAAAAAAAACAGACATATCTTTAAGCATACATATGGTATATAGTATATAATGCATTAATGCTTCCAATTCAAGTTAATCTCGATTAGTAGACACACAAATAAATACATACAAACATACAACAAATGTTTTATATCATAAAATTTAACTTGAAGGTTTCTGCCTACTGTTCATCTAGTGAACCAGCCTTCAATTTATACATGATTATCTGTAAATTTAAGGGAAATGGGTAATTTGCGAATATTTACCATCTTGTATGAGAAAGAAAGCGACAATCAACGATTAAGTAGGCGCTGCATACCAACTGATTCAATTGAAAGCCCCTGAAATAATAAAATGCAAGTCAAAGAAGACACAATTACAAAAATACCCCAAACAAAGAAACTAAAATCGTCTCAATCATTAAAAAGAGGGAGAATGGGATGAAATAGAAAAAACGAAGGAAAGCAAAAACCCTAATATCAGGGTGATAAAATATGAAGTATTTAGACACATCCAAATATATGTTGTTATATCAAAGGTTGAAAAAAGATAAAATCATACCATCTGCATTCAGTGGATTCAATAGAATCCACAAGTATAGCTGATATACGTCTCCATTTATGACAAGCATCACAACACACCCACGCACTCAACTTCAGTTTCTTTTCTTTCTGAACGGTGCCCTTTTGTGGTAATCCTATCAATGAACTCAACTTCAGCACAAAGTTCCATCACCAAATGATCTACAACAAAATCTTCATAACCTCCTTGAATTGAAACCACCAGTATGAGCGTTATATTGATTGGAAGAATATTCATAATCCTACTACACATATATAAATACTCAATAATATGAGCTACTAGATGTCTGTGTTATCCACTTCCTTTTTCACTAAAGTGGTGTGTAGGCATTTAAACAAACAGTTGGTATGCAACTGCAAATCTACCAAATTAGAGAAAAAACTTACACTAATCAAACCATACGATGTTGATAGAAAAGTTAAAGCAAGATACAAATTAGGGCTCACGTTATCAATAATAAAAAAGAAGTCACCTTTAAAGGAACGTTGGTGGCATACAATGTTGACAGAAAAGATGAATGAAGGGGTATATTTGGGAAGAACTATAAGATCTCTTATGGTAGGGAGGCGATGAACAGAGGAAACGAGCCCTAAAAAATCTAGAGCACCATGTGGTAATAATGGAGCACAGTAGCCGACAACACTTATATGTTTCTCTGTGTGTCAAATCAATGTAGGGTTTGGGGTTTGAGAGTGAAAAACCAGTCAATCGCTTGAAGATTGAAGAGTGAAGTCGAATTGAGGAGAAGTTGTACCAGGTTTTAGGGGAATATTCGAACCAATTGGTCTTCTTCACAACCATTACAGGTTGCATTTTTCCGATGAAGTTGTTTTTGAAGATGAACGTGAGATGATGGAGCGTTAATAGAGAGAAATGTTAGGGTTTCGGGAGAAAACAAACTCATCTATAGAGGAGAGAGATGAGAGAAAACTTGGTAGAGGGAGCGAGATGAGAAGGTGGATGCATCAACTAGGGAGAAAACAAACTCAGAGAGTGAAGAGTAAACTTGGATTTAGGAGAAGCATCATTTTTAGGGAGAAATCGAACGAGTTGGTCTTCATTGTTGATCTTCTTTGCAGCCATTAATGGCTCCTGAATATAGAGAAAGGGTAGGGCTTAAGGTGATTTGAAGAGTTGTAGTCGCATGTGTGTAGAGGTGAGCCTCAGCTCGCTGACGAGGTGAGGTGAGACCGAGTTGCCGATGAGGCTAATCAGGTCGTTGACTGGAAAGCACCGTGAGGAATGGAAAATCGTTTTGAATTTTAGGGTTTGTAAATGTGGGGAGTCGTTGTAGATGGAGTAGGGTAGAGGTGAAGAGGAGTGAGCGGGGTACTTCAAAATTTTGGGGGATTTTCCCCCTTTAGCTATTAATGAAGGATCAGACTCTCGTTCTTACAACACAGAACGAAGCCAACATAAAACCATGTTTCTGGTGGTGACGGCTGCTAGGTTTTACAGAGAGAAGGAGGGGAGAAAATGAAGGTCATCGGTAAGTGGAGAGGAATGAATGAGCGGGTCCTCCAAAATTTTGGGGATTTTTGTCGATCGATCATTTCCCGCCTAAAAGGCGTGTTTCATTAAAAATTTATAAAGAGACATACTTACATGACGAACATTTTATAAAAGGCGCCCTCCGCATTTCCTTTTTTTCTTTTCTAACACTAATTTTAGGGCACGCACAAATGCGTGTCTTCTATCCTTCAAATTTTGAAAAACTAACACTATTTTTTAGGGCACCCACAAATGCGCGCCCTCTATCGGCGGGTGTCATTGTTTGCGCGTCATTAAAGGCCAGTTTTCTAATAGTGCGAGGACAACCCAAACCTCCAACACCACTGAGAAACCTTCATCATCACCTGCCATCTTCCTTGCCCCATTCTCTATGAGTTCACGCCGATAAAACACAATGGAGAGGCAGCGGAGCTGCCATAAAACGCCACCCATCACCGCCACTCGCTGCTCCGCCATCCGTTGACATCATATTTGTTGCAGGTGTGAGTTTTCCGACCACCACCTTATACCCCTTCCTCTCGTTTCTTCTTACAACCTCGTGTCTATTTTCCTATCCAGGTTTCGTACATTTTTTAGGTTTGAAAAGGATTGTTCATAATAGGGGCAAATCAAAGATGGGGATGGGGATTACCGAAGTAGAGAGGGGAGTAAGGGTGGAGAGGGCTATTTACCTTGTCTTGGACCTGCAAGACGAGAAAGATACGAGAGGAACACAGAGAAAATGGATTCAATCGACCCAGCACACGCTTTTGAAGCCACGACATCTGCATTTTATGTATTTGGTTTGGCCGGTAACGTCAGAATGGAATTGGCAAAAGGTTCGACATCACTGAGAGTGCATCTCCATAGCCTCGATCAAGACACTGTTCTTGAATAATTGTGATGTGTGGGTTTTTTTATACAGCAGAGAGCAAGGGTAGGACCCTTTTAAATTTCATTTTTTTTTCTTTTTTTCAAAAAAAAAAATAGAAAACCTCATAAATGGTCTCTGGGTATTGAAATGATGAAAATGTCTCTCACTTAACGGTAGAAAACTGACGGTGTTAAACCAATGACTAAACATTAAAAGTTTTGAAACCACAGGGACCATCTGTGAGGTTTTTTGAACATAGGAACTAAACTTGATATTTTCGAAAACCACATGGACCATTTTTGAAGTTTTGTCTAAAAAAATTAGTTTATATAATTTAATTTTTTAAAATGTTACACGTTAAAGCCTAAAGGCATTTTTTCTCCATTTGGTCGTGGCATTTGATTCCTCAAAACATAAATCCATTACGCTACTGCATTCCTAGATCTTTTGACTCAAAAGGGACCTAAAATCATTAACGTTTGGTTGAGGGACACCTAGACACCTAATCGTTAACTCCTCATACTTATAGGCTTAAGGGCTAAGGCCCTTTGGTATAACAACTTTTAATGGTGTAGAATGAATGTTGTATGCATTAGTCGGTTTAAAGTATTAAGTACCATTGTAAAAAAATAAAAAATAAAAACAATGTAAGAGAAAACCTATCAGACTCCCAATTCTCAAATAACACACTTTACCCCTCAAGAGTCTAGATTAACAAGTTTCAAACTGATCAAACAGGAACATTGACACGTCAAACTTATCAAATAACATCAACCTTGACAAACAGTACTATATATAACAAGGTCGAATAACCAGAATCTGAACAGTAAAACTCAACCCGAACAACCTAAACCGGGAAACGCGAATGATTGTTGGAGTAACCCGATTAATGAACAACTATATATTTATTGCATACCCTAGTTGGAATTCCTACCTAATTAATCCATGTCTTTTTTGCACTTAACGAAGAAGGAAGAACCATTGCAATGGTTGCCATGATCACTAGAACTAGCTAGGCATGGTAATGACTTCCTTCAAGCGGTTGACATAGATCAGACACCAATTGGGGTTTCAAGTATATCATCTTCGGGGAAGTTGTTCAAGTACATAATCGAGTTCTCGTCATGAAGAGTTGAAGAAGACGAACAAAACCCACTTCTCATATTGCCAGCAAACCCTAAACGATCATTTGTAGTCACAGATTTAGACTCATTAGATGTGTTGGTGGTGGTGGTATGGAAGAAGGTTTGCATAAAACTCAACTCATCATCGTACGAGTTAGTGATCTCTAGAGATGGATCAGAGTCGTTGCAGTTTGGATGTGTTAACTCAGGGAGGATAATGATGGAACTTTCAGGGGTTGCACCGGAGGTTGTGGCGGTGGTAGTGGTAGAAGAAGAGGAGGAGGAAGAGGCAAGATTGGGATTAGTAGTTTTGCTTCTAATGTATTCTTGTAAAAGAGAAGATTGCGACTTTCTGTTTTTAGCATCATTTTTCTTGCTTTTTCTGCTAGAATTCTGCCTTCTTTTTGTTGCATTCCATTGATTCTTTATAGCATTTTCTGTTCTTCCGGGGATCATTTTAGCAATTTCCGCCCATCTATTACCGACCTTCTGATGAGCATCGATCAACATTCTTTCTTCTTCTTCATTCCACGTGTCTTTCTGAAAGCAAGTGACATATGATTAAAAGTTCTTGAATGGTGACAATTATATCATTTGGTACAAGAATTCAAAGAAATTCCAATATAAACATCTTCAAAATCTATGTTTGCATTTAAAAATTTGTTTATCATCATCCTTTATTTTGATTCCATGTGTCTTTCGATGATAAAGGAGCTAAAATTCACAGAAGGAATATGGAAACATGAAAATTTTGCAAGATAATTAAGATCGAACTCTTGAGTTAATTTATAAAATGAATGATTCAAGCCTATGGAATTGTTTAAGTTAGCAAAAAAAATTGACTGAAGATTTAACCAAGAAAGCAAATCCGGGATGAGAAACGATTTAGTCTAAATAAAATAAACAAAAATAATTGACAAAATCGACTTAAAATCTAAGTTACTACTTACTAGATCTCATGTTTATCTGAAAGTAGGAAATAGGGGATTTTTATATCTTTAATTAGGAAAAATGTAGATTTTTTGTAGTTAGAATTCACGAAATCATAGCAGATTATATAGATGAAATGAAGAACTGAATTAAAAAGATCAACAAGACCTTGATATCGGGTCTCAAATGGTTGCGCCAGCGCTCACGACACTGTTTCCCCGCTCTTCCAGTCATCTTCTCCGCAATCACAGCCCATTTCGTTATTCCATATTGGTTCACCAGCCTGATTAGCTTGCTTAATTTATTCATAAAAAATGGAGAAAATTCATCGTTAGTAATGTGTCTATGCATGGATTAAGTCGAAGAACAACTTGAAATGGAGAACACAAAAGATCAAAAGCGTTGAAATTTAACCTGTCTTCTTCATCTGTCCATTGTCCCTTGATCAAAACTTTGGATGTGTTGCCACCTTTTGATTGCTTTGTAGAATCTCTCGAGATCTTTACAGGTTTGACTACTTCGACTTGGTTAACTCCATGCTTTGTATCATAATTGGGGTAGTTTTTCAGTTCTTCCCAAGTTAGACACTCCCCGATGTCGTTAGTAAACACATCGTTTGTCACCATGGGTAAACATGGTGCGAAACATATTCCACTTTGAGCGTTGACGCCACCACTCAAACAAGATAAGCCAGAAACATTTTCTGCGGTGATCATTGCTTCGCTGATCTGAAGGCTTTTAGTTTGATCGATTTGAGTTGGAGTTTGACCCCATAGGAATCTATCTATGGCTGTCAATGGCGGAGGCGCAGGCTTATACCAAGAAATATTGTTTTGATAATTTGCATAATTAGCAAAGCCACCGCCATAACCACCGTCACCACCACCTTCCATGGCTGAAGAAAGCTTGAATAGATCAATGGGGGTAGTCGTCTGGTGTTTTTATGCCTTCGACATATAGCTACATGTACTTAGCAATGGGTTCGTATCTACATGTCAGGACAGCCGTAAGATTGAAAGGTTGATCCAATGGTTGAAAGTCACCCGTGACTATGACCTTTCGGCTTCCTTTCTTACAGAAAAGTCTAGGTGGCGATATATGATTGGCTCCGTTACATTTAAATATATTTTTATGGTGAGTAAATTGTATTTATTAAGGGGAGAGTATTTGGGACAATGGAGGTCATCAAGCCATGATTTTTATCTCTAAAATCGGAAAAAAGAATAAATTTTTAATTCTAGTTTATTTACACCAGGTAAAGAGTGGTTAATTAGAACTTTGTGTAGGGTATGTTAGCTCTAAAAGGCATATATTTAACAGATTTACATGTATAATTGTATATTAATCGAGTTTTAAAAAATTAGAATGGTTTCATCATGGCTCATTATAGTTCCAAAACTTGTACCTGACATCAGGAATCGCGTAATGAACCACAATAAAAGTTAGTAAATTGAGATCAATGATATGTCATTTCATTAAAAATTTTGAAGGATTTAATTTTTGAAGGATTTAATGTATTATAAAGATTATAATATAAAGTTGTATAGTAAATAAAATAATAATGTGATAATGAATATAATATACCACTGTAAAAATTGTTCAGCTTTAATAAGCTTAGTTGTAGAACTAATAATCATTAAACTTTATAAAACTTTTTCATCTCACAATCCATTGAAATCTTGGAAGATTAATGGATAATCAAATCAACGTACTATTTTTAAAAATTAAATTAGAAATAAGGGTCAACTTTTTCATATAACCATCCAAGCATATATTGATTCTACATTCATTTTATTCATTTCTCTAACTTTTATTTAACAGAAAAACTAGTATAAACAATATTATCCAATAGTTTATCATTTCAAAATTTATTTTTAAGTAAATAATTTAGCTTTATCTATCTCAAATATTATAAGAAGGCTTCTCATATAATGTTTCATCTTTTTTTAAATATAATATTTTTCGAAAATTATATTTAAGGAAATAAATAAAAACATAAAATATTATAAAAATATAATAGTTTTTTTTTTAATCTTTGATTTTTGTGTCATTTTGAAGGTATTAAAAATAATCTTTTTATTTAAAAAATTTCTATAGAACAAATTTATTTTTATTTTTTATATATTAAATATATCAACGAATCACAAAATAATAATATCTTAACCAATGTGTAACTTGACTTGTTATTAAATATAAGAATCAATGGAGACGGTTTGCTGATTTTAATGGCTTTGTGCGAAAATTAAAATGAGTCTCTAAATACAAATTATATATATATATATATATATATATATATATATATATATATATATATATATATATATATATATATATATATATATATATAAAAGCAAAGTAAGTTTAATGAATGAATTGCTAGAAAACTAAAAAGTAAACTAAATTCATAAAAGAAGAACAAATGTAAATTTATAAAACTTGAGGGGTTAAAAACATACATGGTAAAACTTAAAAGTGAATTAAATTTTATAGAAAAACAATAAATCCATGTTTATAAATTTTTGAGAGGATAAATATAAAACTTGTGAATACTAATTTGGTTAAAATTTATGGGTAGACTATAAAAAATAAAGCAAACAATCAGGGGTCAAATATATGTAACTTAAAAAATGAAGCAAACAACAACAGGGTCAAATATACATAAAACCATGTGAAATGACACTTTAACATAACAAAGTTTTGGCTTTTTCCCGAATTGGTCATTGAAGTTAATCTTTTGCGTTATTAGTCCTTAATTTACAAATTACTTATCAATCATACCATTTTGATCAATTTGAAATGATTACCTGACACTATGACTATAGTTTGTAGTGTGACGTGAAAGATAAGCTTAAATGACATTCTAGAGATGTAGCTACATCACAACCCGGTGTGATGTGTAAGATAAGCTTAATTGACACTATAGTGATGTAGCCACGTCACAACTCGATGTCCTTTTACCTAATAAATGATACCTTCATAAGGGAAAGTTTGATTACATTGTTACCTACATCCAACCTTTTGAACTAAGCTTATTCAGTTACGATATCTCTTTAAATGATGGCATCCACCTACTCCTCTAGTCGACAAGTGACGATACAAGTTGTGACAGTTAGTGACGACGACAAATTATCCCATTGTGGCTTTGAGAAACCCTTAGTGCAAAATCACTTCGTGGCGCATTGGAAACCCAGTAAAAAGGTTCTTAACTGTCAAAATAACATGGTGAGCTTTCGATCTAGCTATATTTACTTTTATGTTAATAATCTGTAAGTTTTATTTAATAAATTAGGGTTTTAAAATCCCAAACATCTTATAAGAAACGTAGAGGTTCTTGAGAATCTTGGCATTGTTAGCCCTCATTATGTAACAGGACAAATTTTCAAACAAATTTTTTTTTGATGTTTCACAAAAATTTTGTCAAATATCCTAGAATCCACATAAACTCAAATCATCAAGTTGGTGTGTACAATCATATTTTTATGATTGGCTCCGTTACATTTAAATATATTTTTATGGTGAGTAAATTGTATTTATTAAGGGGAGAGTATTTGGGACAATGGAGGTCATCAAGCCATGATTTTTATCTCTAAAATCGGAAAAAGAATAAATATTTAATTCTAGTTATTTACACCAGGTAAAGAGTGGTTAATTAGAACTTTGTGTAGGGTAAATTAGCTCTAAAAGGCATATATTTAACAAATTTTACATGTATAATTGTATATTAATCAAGTTTTAAAAAATTAGAATGGTTTCATCATGACTCATTATAGTTCTAAAACTTGTACTTGACATCACGGAATCACCTAATGAACCACAATGAAAGTTAGTAAATTGAGGTTCAATGATATGTCATTTCATTAAAATTTTTGAAAGGTTTAACATATTATAATGATTAAAATATAAAGTTGTATAATATGATTCAGTGTTAATAAGCTTAGTTATTAGTCTTTATAAAACTTTTTGTTCTCACAATCCATTGAAATCTTGGAAGATGAATGGATAATCAAATCAACGTACTATTTTTAAAAATTAAATTAGAAATAAGGGTCAACTTTTTCGTATAACCATCCAAGCATATATTGATTCTTCATTCATTTTATTCATTTCTCTAACTTTTATTTAACAGAAAAAACTAGTATAAATAATATTATCCAATAGTTTATCATTTCAAAATTTATTTTTAAGTAAATAATTTAGCTTTATCTATCTCAAATATTATAAGAAGGCTTCTAATATAATGTTTCATCTCTGTTTTAAATATAATATTTTTCGAAAATTATATTTAAATAAATAAATAAAAACGTAAAATATTCTAAAAATATAATATTTTTTTTTAATTTTTGATTTTTGTATCATTTTGAAGGTATTAAAAATAATATTTTTAATTACAAAATTTCTATAGAACAAATTTATTTTTAATTTTTATATATTAGATATATTAACTAATCACAAAATAATAATATCTTAATCAATGTGTAACTTGACTTGTTATTGAATATAAGAATCAACGGAGATGGTTCGCTAATTTTAATGGCTTTTGTGCGAAAATTAAAATTAGTCTCTAAATACAAATTATATATATATATATATATATATATATATATATATATATATATATATATATATATATATATATATATATATATAAAAGAAAAGTAAGTTTAATGAATGAATGGTCACGAGGAAAACTAAAAAGTAAAGTAAATTCATAAAAGAAGAACAAATGTAAATTTATAAAACTTGAGGGTTAAAAACATATATGGTAAAACTTAAAGGTGAATTAAATTTTATAGAAAAACAACAAATCCATGTTTATAAATTTTTGAGGGGATAAATATAAAACTTGTGAATACTAATTTTTAAATTTTATGGGTAGATTATAAAAAATGAAGCAAACAACAGGGGTCAAATATGTAACTTAAAAAAAGAATAGAGTAAATTACATGAATGGTCCCTATGGTTTGGGGTAATTTACGCGTTTGGTTCCTAACTAATTTTTTTAACTCGGAAAGTCACTACTGTTTGTTTTTGTTACGCGTTTGGTCCTTACTATTTGTTTTTGTTACTCGCTTGGTCCCTATCTTACCTAAAAAGACTATTATTTAAATAGGGAAAAATAATGAAGTAGGTAAGGTAAAGTGAGAGGAATGGAGTTGGGGGTGTGTTTATTTAAATAAATTAAAAAATCAATGGCAAAATAGTCTTTTTAAGTAAGATAGGGACCAAACGTGTAATAAAAACAAACTGTAGGGACCTTCCGAGTTAAAAAAAATAAGTTAGGGACCAAATGTGCAAATTACCCTAAACCATAGGGACCATTCGTGTAATTTACTCAAAAGAATATGCATAAAAACATGGGAAATGACACTTTAACATAACAAAGTTTTGGTTTTTTCCCGAGTTGGTCACTGAAGTTAATCTTTTGCGTTATTAGTCCTTAATTTACAAATTACCTATCAATCATACCATTTTAATCAATTTGAAATGATTACCTGACACTATAACTATAGTTTGTAGTGTGACGTGAAAGATAAGCTTAAATGACATTCTAGTGATGCAGCTACATCACAACCTGGAGTTCGTATGAACGAGGTACGTGTGGATATAAAAAACGTCAAAAACGGAGCTCATGTGAACGAGTTATAATTTTTAATAGCACATTTACGTATTAAAATAAAGTGTAAATCATATATACGTATACATATATATATACATATGTATATATCATTAGAAATGTATCGACGATGCGGTCGTTGTAAGTACTTTCAACATTAGTTTAGTCCAAATATCATTAAATCTATTTAAAATAGTATTATAAATTGGTGTTTAGTCATTTAAGTAAATATAGAGGGTGGCTTTTGAAAATTCAATTACTATAAATAAGAGCCTCTAG